ATAGACACACACACACAACTGTATAATAGTTTTAGACTCTTTACTTTTCACCGTAAAGTGCTTCACGTTAAGTTATATATAAAAAACACCTTCTAATAAAAGTGAAAACCTAATTAATACATTATATCACAAACATAGAAGCTTTAATAGCCTTGCCTTTTTTTCACTAATATATATATATATATATATATATATATATATATATATATATATATATATATATATATATATATATATAGACACACACACACAACTGTATAATAGTTTTAGACTCTTTATTCTTCACCGTAAAGTGCTTCACGTTAAGTTATATATAAAAAACACCTTCTAATAAAAGTGAAAACCTAATTAATACATTAATCAAACATAGAAGCTTTAATAGCCTTGCCTTTTATGTAATTTTTTTTCTGTTAATTTATTTCCCAAATTTTCACATCGGATTATTAAATTTTCCTAATAGACAGCCGACGCAGATGCTAAAGCGAGGATATCAACTAATTAGCAATTGGAATACATCTGATATCTTTCTCAAGTGTCAACATAGGACGACGAGGTTGCCTGAAACAAAGAAATAGGGGGCAAAATATAAAAGGCACGAGACTTTAATCTTTTACTTTTACAGTTCACTCATGTAAATATAAGAAACAGGAATCCGGTCGTATACAACCATCAAACTCATCCTGGCACTATGAAGAATGACAAAACAAAGACGCATGGGACACAAACATACCCTAAAAATAATTTGCCACTTCAACCATGTGTTACACGGATCATCATATTGAGAAGAAGAAAAGAAAAAGGAAAATAACTTGACAACCAAGTGAAAGAACGAATAAATAAGAAGCTTCAGTCAGAAATCTGCAAAGGCCGCAAAAAGATCACCATTGATGTAATCGTTGTCCACCAAACTGACCAAGAAGTAGCTTCCACCCACCTGTGACACAGAAAGAATTATCAAAGCTCTAGCTTGTAGCTGAAAACAAAAACACGGCAATGCCATCAAATACACAGGTTTTACAGGACCATAGCCTTATGAACCAACCTCTTCAACAAATTTCCTGGATGCATCACCCTCAGGGTACAAGCTGGCCCATCCTCTTGACCAAATTTCAAATGCCTCATCCTTCCATACATTAAAACTGACAGGATCCACAATGGTTGGTTGTTTTATCTCCTTAGCTGGGAAGACACCCCATGTCACAGCATTAACATCAGTTTGACCCACATTAGAACTCCAGCTCCCTTCTTTATTCACTGCCATATAAGTTAAAGAGATTCGATCCTTGCATTTATCAACAAGTGTATCCAGCTTTTCCTTGGAGCAGAAGAACTCTACATATGCCTTCTGATAAACATACCCACCAGGTCCACCCCAGCCTAGGCCATATATCAAAAACGAAGGATTTAGTGTATAATTTATCGTAAACACACAAATACGGACAAGATATCAATACCCTCAGTCATAAAATTCACTGGATATTCTGCTCGGAAAATCTCAATATATTCTGAATCCCTATTTTGTTTTCAATGTTCTGTTCAATCTTCCTTTTTCATTTTACAAGTATAGTCAATATAAAGTGGTATAGCCACATCTCACTCAAGAATCCTGATCCAAAAATTGAAACAAAACCCTTCCCGTTATCTGGCCGTAAGTTCAGTACTATTTCCTAATCGGCTAAAAGTTAGTTTAGGATTTTAGGCTATAAACAATATAAAGTAATCAATAAAACACTATACCACTGTATCTGTAATATAAATTTAACAAACAAAAATCATATCGGTAAACACCAGATTCGACATGATGTAACTTTTACTAACAAAAAATAAGGAAAAGAAATTAGAAATATAACATAACTACATTTCCCCTTGTGTAGTCACATTCCGAATTGTGGCACCATACTATTTATCCATTAGCAACAGCATCAGATTTAGCAAACCAACAAGAAGCATGAAAAAGAAATTACTAGGAAATTATAAAAAAAAAAAAAAACAGATCTGCAGAGACAAAAATAAGAAATTAAAAAGGCTGGATTCCATGCTTTGAATTTAGATTTGCTTCAATAGAATTCCCTATTTAATCCAATCACAGGCTTCAATATTCAGGTTATGAATAAAGACAGGACAGAAATCCGACAGCCAGTGCTAAAAGTTAACATGCCTACTTATCGTTGTTGAAAATTTGAACCAAAGATACCTACTGGAAGACCATGTTCAAAGGGTAATCAACCTAACTGTTAGTAGCCTCTTTGACAACTAGTAAATAAATGATAGAAATAGAAAAAGGTATCAAAGTATTGGGGAAGGAAATGAGCCTTACTCAACCCTAAAACCTAGCTCAATGGAATAGGATTGTGCGATTCTTGTAGGGAATATTTTGGCAATATTGCTAGCTAGACATCTTAGCATACTCCCATATCCCAGAACTGGACATGTGCAGGTAACCTAACACCAATACTTTAGGCTCTGAATCCCATAAACTAGCTAAAAGGTAGATGATTGTCAAAATCTTGTAGCGAGTATTCTAATCATACCTCTAACAAATGTTGCACATTTGACCATAACCATGGTCCGGACACAAGTAACTGTAGTTGTTTGTGCTTCCAGCCTGCCACAAGTACCTAACACCTTCTAACTCATTCCAAAATGAAAACCTATAGAAATGTTCAACTATCTAACTTGAATCAGAAAGTTAGGCATCTTTCTATAGCTAGTACAAACTAAAATACTGTAAACCTACGACCAGATAATATCATGCATAAATAAAAATAAACTTCCTTTACACCCACCTACAGTAAGAGAATCCGACTTTTCCCCATTAACAGCTGGCTGGCTATTGATTGTGAGGAAGCCTTTTGCGTTAATCCTCTCCAGCTGCTCATTGATGATCTTTGTCTCTGGCTGAAGACCATCTAATTCTGACCAAGGGTTGGTTCTCAACTTTCCAATGCAGTACATTCTGAACCGCTGGTATATAACAAAGGGGGTAAATTTAGATGACGTTTAAGTGTTAACAAGATTACTCTAGCAATGCTCGAAGTGAAAAAATAACTCCACCTCATATATATCTTCAACGCTTTTCAAGGGAACTACCCATTCTTCAATAAGCTTCTTGTCCCGTGCACGTGGTCTCATGAACTACAAGAAAAAAACGATGAATTCTAGCCCTATCAAATAACAAGTACCAATTTCTAAAAGCTTCAATGTAGTTTTAACACTTCTGCTTCTGCCTTGTTTCCTTTCCCATCTGTTTTAGGCTTTGCATGAAAAAGTAATTAGGCTTTGCAATATGACCTTTCTATTCATTTTTTTCAAAACAAAGTTTATACAGCATCATAATCACAAAAAACAATATATGCTACGCAAACCCTTGATTTTCAATGTAGGGCAACTAATATAATTCACATGAAATCCAAGGTTTCAAATTGCAATTTACACTACAACCATAATTGTAGCCACAATATTGTGGTTTTGGAGGTTACCGTATCGGCATCAGAATCATAATTGGGATTGCATCAACTACATTTGTCAACAACTTTCCACATTTGAATATCAACACAATTGTGACCACAATTCAAAACCTCGAACAATTCTTATTAGATCCATCACTGCAGTATGTTTCCCATTTGGATTGATGCATTGCACTTTTAGTTTCTCCACAAAGAAATAATAAAATTTAATTTTAAATAAATGGTCTACTGTTAAACAATCAATTTTGATCTACCGATAGTGTAGAGACCTTTTTATCCTCTGGGAAAGAAAATAAAAGTGTTAAATAACATACATAAAAATAAAATCAGTAAGCAACCGCGAGCACCTGGTAATCAGTTAATGCACCATATGATGGGTTACAGGAATCACCCCAACGCCCATGTGGGTATTGGTCCCATCCTATGGTTCGTGATATGTAGCTTTTTGGACGATTTGCCCTATAATAGTTGTACAAGGAAAGTAAGAAATCCTTCATACCGATTCACTCATGTTATGGAACACGACATGACAATTGCAAAGGTAACATACCAAAAGATTGGACGGACATCTTCTTTAACACGGAAAACATTAGTGGGACGTCTCCATGGTAAGGATCTAGAAATTTTGGACTCTTCAATTAAGCCAAGGTTCTGCCAGGAAAAAAAGAAACAGTAAACATTAATATCAACTTTCAAAAGTTAAGTCTTCCACAAATAACAAATGTACACATCGCATGCCATAGGAGCCAACCATTAGTATTGCTAATGCTGATTTCTCCATATTTAGTGTATAAAGATGCAATGTCTTAATTCCATGAGATAAAATCTTTTTGCACATTTCAGTTCCCAAGTGAACTCCATAAGACTTGACAGCTTCTTCATTGTCCTTGATAGGCTCTAGAGCAGACATAATGTCAGCTGGTATCTAGATTATGTCATTGAAAATAAAACAATGTATTAGAGTCCATGGCATTTAAGTAATATAACAAATTGGTAAAAAGTGACAAGTACACGAATACCAAGTAACAAAGACATATTATGTGAAAACATTTTATCTTAACATTCATCCCTAGTACTAGTTAAATATGTTCACTCGTCCAACACAACAATCTAGTATGGGATCAATCATTACTCCCAGTGTATGTTCAGGTTTATTTTTTAATAATGTTCTGAAAGAACAACTGATATTTTCTTCAAGTATACATGTATAAAGAGAGATCAATATTTAACATTCAAGTTACTTTTTATTCTTTCTTTAGTCCCCATCCTACAACGTCCTAGAGACTTTTAAACATTTCCAATACTAAATACTTGGTCTACATAAAAAAAAATCTTACCTTGGTTTTACAAAACCCAGTCATACGAAGAAAGCCCTTGTAATTATTAATGGGCATAATTCCAGGTACAATAGGACAAGTTATTCCGATTTGGCGACAGTCATTCACAAATTTCAGGAATGTATCCGTATCATAAAATAACTGGGTGACAATCACATCTGCTCCAGCATCGATCTGCAAAAAAAACATGAACTCAGAATAGGAGGCCCAAAGAAGAGGTAGAGAGATCAACAAAAAAATACCTTGCAAAAGAATCCTTCACCACTGCCTACCCCTCACTTGCTACATTTCATTTTCATTTAGAAGAAGAATAGCCAAGTTTATCCAAGAATGCAGCATTTCTCTTAAGTTTTTTTTTTTTTCTTTTTGCCCTTCTTGTTTAAGAAAGAAAGTCACAGATTAAAAGAATTCCCTAAATTATATTCTAGAATTGAAAAAAAAAAAAAAAAACTTTTAACACAAAATGGGTATATTCTAATTCAACAACTAGACCTTGCTCTTCAGGTATTCAAGATCTTTTTGATAACCTTCTGCTGTAGCCAATCCATCACTTCCTATAACATCCGGATGTGCCTCTGAAGAGAAAGACTATAGATTGTAAGAGAAAATGATGGCAGAAAAAGGAGCATAAAAGCACTTAACAGAATGAGATAATGAAGTTGAAAATAATGAGAAGTGTGTAACCTGGATAACCAGCAACAGTAATGCCAAAGTAGTCACCATATTTAGCTCTGATGTGTTTCACCTACAAAAAACATTAGCATCCTGAAAATCAGCACTCAAGACCAGACAAACTGAACTAACAGGATCACCAGCTAGTATCAAATTTTATGAAACTAAGCCCACGGTTTTATCATCACTAAGAATGCAGTATAATGTTCCAGAACTCATTAACAATGGATTTAAAAATTTCCATTCTTTGTATTTTCAGACAGTGCAGAGTACCCAGGTGCTTTGCCAATATCAAATTTCCATCAAGGAACATGACTGACCCACTTTTAGTGGGGTCTCCCCTCCCCAAACACATTTTTTCCATCCACAAGACTTCAATCCAAATCTAACTCAAAAGAAGCAAGCCAATTCAACTCCAACCAAGAACTTCTTGGTCCAGCAGATCAAATATAGAATAACAAATGACACTCTGACAAATTATAACAGAGGACTCAGTCTGTGCAAAATTGAAATCTTTTCTTAAAAAAGGGTTTCTACGAAAATAGCTATAAACCATCAAAGTCTAGAATTGGTAAAAGAGAACCTGGGTGAGGGTGCTATGGTTCTCTAACTATCCGAGCTGAGATTGGCAAAAATAGAATAAATTATATAAATATGAGGAAATTGGAGGGGAAAGGAATTGGTACCAGATCGCGTGCACAGGCAAAGCCGCCTTCAACCTGCACAAATTTGTCTTGGCCATGTGGGGGGTCACCTCGAAGAGCAAGCACATTCTGGAGGCCATTGGACTTGATGGTCTGGAGAGCATGGTCTATCTTCTCAACAGGCATGTTAGTGCAGGTAAGGTGCATCATGGTCTCCACACAGACAATGTTCTGCATCCTGTTGGCAATTTCCAATGTTAGATCAGCTGTGGTTCCACCAGCACCCCAGGTGATATCACAAAACGAGGGATTGTGAGCCACCATGCGGTCCATCCTCTCAAACAAATTGTCCACCCCATCCTCAGTCTTGGGCGGGAAGAACTCAAAGGAGAACACCACCCTGTTTGGATCAGCTGCGGCATCGCGTATTTTCTCTATGATCTTCATTTTCTACCTTTTTTATAGCTAAGACCATGCCAAACAAAGCAGTAAGTAGATCAGATCAGCTAGATCCAACAACAATGGATTGGAAAACAATAAGAGATTGATTATTCACACAACAACATTTCACACCTCCATCTCTCGCCATTACATCATTTTACATTAGTTGTAAAATTCAGATGTGTAATTATAAAGAAAGGCATGGAAAGCAATAATCCTGAGTCCAATTAGGAACATTTTATAATTATAGCATCAAGAAGGAAAGGGAAGGAAGAATTGAAAGGAACGAGAGCAATAGTCGTACCTTAGTGGTATGAGGTGAGGAAGGGAGAGATAGAGCAAGCGCGCAATGTGAGGAGTGGAGGTGTGGTTATATAGAGACGTACCGACACATATACAATGGTAGATCTGTGAGAGACTATGGTTGGTGGCAACTGGCTACCGGGTAAGGGTCTTGTTCAAATTTCTTCACATTTATGGGTGAGTGGGGACAACAACTAATGCTATTATGTTCTTTTTCACATCTCTTCACAAAAACTTGGAGATATTCTTTTTCAACTTATTCAAAATGGGTTCTGCTGCCACTGTCATTTCCAATAAAAGAAAAAAAAATACATATATATATATATATATATATATATATATAAAGAGACTTTTATATATAATTATTACTTTTAGGTTAAATATGTTTTTGTCCCTAAACTATTAACTATTGTTTTCGTCCCTGTTTTAAAGTAAGGTACAATTTGGTCCTCATTCTTTTCGAAACGTTCGTTTTAATCCTTGGAATTTTGGTTTTAGTCCTCATTTGTTGCTAAATGAGGACCAAATTTTTATATAGTGTTTAGTTTTCGAGGACTAAAACGAACGTTTCAGAAAAGAATGAGAACCAAATTGTACCTTATTTTGAAAGAGGGATGAAAACCAGAAACGACCAATAGTTTAGGAACTAAAAACATATTTAACCCTTACTTTTATTTTACTTTTATAATATTTTTATTTTTATTTTTTTTAAAGAATAAAAATTTGTTATACTTTAAATTTCTAATTAAAATTACTTAATTTTTATTTCGTAATACTATTACAACTTACTCATTTTTCAATTTTATAATTTAATTACTTTTATTAGTTTACAAATTTTAATCTACATTCGAATAGTTAATTATTTACAAAATATTTAAGTACAAATTATACTTAATTTTATATATTCATAATTTTGTAACTCTAAAATTTTTATTTTTTTTCTAGTAATTACATTAATTATTTACCATTTTTAAATATTTTTAACACTTATTTTTTATATTTCATTTGTATCTGTAGTTTAAAAAAATATATAGTTTTCCTAATATTTTAATTAATTATTTATTATTTTAAAACATTTTTAACATCTTATTTTTATATTTTAATTAACTGTTTGTAATTTAAAATTTTTACCTACATGGAATAAAATTATTAAAAGGATTTTTTATTTAAGTACAAATTATATCTAATTTTATGTGTTTATAATCTTGTATAGTTCCTAAAATTTGTATTTTTCCTTTTAATTTTCTCAATATATATATATATATATATATAATGTTATTGCTCAGACAATTTTGAGATATATGATACATTTCTGCATAAGCATTTGTAAGATGTTGTCTCTTAAAAATAATCTATAATAAAATATTAAAAGGTAATCAAATAATTATTGAACTGACATTATATATACATATATATCATAAAAATGTTTTAAAAACACTTCAAAACAAAATTTATTGAAATTTGTAAAACAATAATATAAGTATCATAAATTTGAAAAAAAAAATCAAGTGAGGCACACAGAAAAAACATGCCATACACATAATAATTTTTTAAAAAAATATTTAACAACTAAAACATGATTAAATATAAATAAATGTGTTAAAATTGTGTGTATATAGATATATAAAATAATATTTTACTATGATACAATCTTAAAAAAAAATTCACCATTCATATATATACTAACAGTGTATAAAACAGGTTACTAATTATATTAAAAGAAATCATTAAAGAAGGAAAGACATGCAAAAAGTAATAGATTTACAAGCAACAAAATAATTATAAATTAATATATTTAATGTAACGTCCCAAAAATATAACATAAATATTATATTAAAAGAGTCAACACAATAAAAATATAATAAAACAGTTATTTACTATCATATAAAGTAAAGTCTTACCGTCATCCCAAAATAACTATAAAATTTAAACTTTATATACAAACATCTTACACCAAAACTATTTACAAATATTACTCTGGAGACAACTACTCTACAGCATTACCTCCGTTAAGGACATGCTCCAAAGATACCTCATCTCCTTTTGCTCATACCCATAGGACGATCATAGCAAAGAGAGAACCAAGAAAAAACATACAACACAAACACAAATATAAGGGTAAGCTAGAAGAACACAAACACAGATAGAAGGGTAAGCTAGAAGAAAACAAACAATGATATATGAATAAATATTAAACATTTCTCATGAGATACTCACACAGCACATCAATTCAAATTAAACTTTATTTATGACCACCACTTTTTGACTTGACCATCCGGATTAGTATGAATATGTAGTTATGACAGTTCATGCACTTGTTGTGGTGAAATAGCTGGCCCACCCCAAGCTACCACACAATATTAGTCCGTTATCACTCACCTTAGGTCAAGGAAAAGCCCCTAGGTTAGGACCTCCTACTATTCTCACGACATGTCTCACCCCTCTCTACTTAAGAATAGTTGATTATTAGAATGTCAGGATGAACTCCAAGACTGAGCTTTCCATATTCATACTTACAAAACTTTGCAACCACCACTGAGAAATTCCTCCTTGGAATTATCTTCCACACTGTTAGAAACAATCCACTTTACTTTGATACTCCTATAATACTCATACATAGTCATACATCATCCACAAATGTATCAATTACATAACTCAAACCAGTCAAGAACAAGGAAGAAAAGAGTACATTACAACTTGGACCAGTCGCTCAACGCACACACACTCGCTGAGCGACCATAGAGTTCTCTCGCACAGCGATTTGGGTCGTTGTGCGAATCCACTAACAGTAACCCCATACTCCAAACCACTCGCTCAACGACCCAGCTCGCTGAGCGAATAAAACACCAGTAGTACTAGACCCCCAACTCACTCGCTTAGTGACCACATTCGCTGATCGAATAAAACTCACAGTGCTTCCAAACCTCAACCCCTTGCTCAGCGTCCCTGCTCGTTGTGCGAATCATCAAACAGTGTGTCAGACTCTATGACCACTCGCTGAGCGACTCCACTCGCTCAGCGAGTCTGCATAATTCTGTAGCACAAATCTGCAAAATTTTCCCGATCTACCCATAATTTACAACTTCCAAACATTTTCCTCAACTTCTAATCCTCCTAGATTGTGTTATAAACTCAATTGAACTTAGTCAATTGTTTCTAAACCTTACAAACATCATTCTAAAGCGTTTACTAAACAAATTACACTTCAAAATCTACAAAACACCAACTTATAGACCCAAATCTTGTTCTACTACTTTTGGCAAAGTTTTAAGCAACTTAGGGGCTCTAACAAGTCCCAAATGACTTACCTAAACTATTACAATTCACCATTTGAGTGTCCAACCCCCAAATCAAAATTTCACTACCCCACTCCCTCAAAACTCACCTAAAATCAAATGAAAACTACTCATAAAAACATAGCTCCTACCTTGTATTATTCTTAGGCTTTGTTCACTTGGAGGAGATGATTTGGAGGAGAGTGAGTTGATGGATTTGAAGGGATTTAAAGGTAAATTTTTTGTTGTTTATTTGAGTAGATTTGGAGGTAAGTAATAATGGAGTTTGGAGTAAAGTTTGTGAAAATTAGTGTAGGATTTGATTGATATGACAGATAAAAAAATTGTTTAATTGATAGAAATTGAAAATTACCAAAATATCCTTTGTGATAAAAATAATATAAATTTATATTTATTAATAATATATTTTTTTGATAAAAACATATTATAAAGAGAAAAAAAATCAAAATTATTTTCTAAAATAGAAAAAAATGTATTTAAGTAAAATTAAATAATTATATTTAAAATATACGTTTTTAAGAATAAAGTATTATTTTATTCAATACTCATATTTAAAATATTTTAACCGAATAAAGTAATTAAAAAAAGAAATCATTTTAAATTAAAAAATTATTTCAGTATTTTAATTCCTCAATAAAAATGGAATAAACTGATGATAAATTATAAAGTAAAAAAGAACAATAGAGCACTCCTCCCCTAGGTTCTCTGCATTACCATGTTCATTTCAAGTCTACCACCAATCATTATCATGTACCTTGTAAATGGAAGAGGTAAAATGGACTTTTAATAAATAATTAACGCAAATTCCTTTCCATCAGAAGAGATAAAAAAATGCAATGTATTTCGCAAATCTTCGCTCTTCCTTCTTTTTAAATTCTTAAAAGTGAACATGAATTATCACTTAAATCTGTCTCTTCAAATTTGCTTGAAGAGTCCATTGAAGTGAATAGAGCTTAGTTATATCAAAGAAATCACATTCAATCCTCTTTTACCTATCCACAAATGTTGTGCTACTTGGCTAACATAGGTTAAAGTTTAAGAAAAACTAGTTAGAAGCTGAAAAATTAACATTTGTAAAAAGCTATTAATAGATAACTATTAAATTATAAGTTCATAAAAAAAATCTCTACTAAAATAATTGATAATATATAAAATGATAGAAACAAAATTTAATGTTGATATAATATTTCAATATAAATTTTATTTGGAGTGCATAGTTGTTATCTTTATTTATTTTATAATAATTTTTAGTTATAGATCAATGCTTTAAATTACATTTGGTTTCCTTAAATTATTATATTTTTATATTGTATGTTCTACTATTCATCTTATAATATATTTTAAAATATATCCAATTATTAAAAGAATATTTGAAACAGAGCAAACTTACAATTATCAAAAAGGAAAATGACACTTGAACAACCATTTTTGACAACATTTAGACACGCGCACACGTGTCAAAATCTGAGTGGTCCATTTTCATTTAATTTTTCCAACTGGACCACTCAGATTTTGACACGTGTGCGCGTGTCTAAATGTTGTCAAAAAATGGTTGTTCAAGTATCATTTTCCTATGAAAAAAGCTTGTTGAGTCAGTAGCTTCAATTTTACAAATATACAAACACTTGCAGTTTATAACACTATGAAATCCAAATAAGAAAATAAATGTTGGCAAAACTAGAGGGTTTTATATATTAATTTAACTTATAGATTTTAATTTTAAAATTTCAAATCACATTTCAACCCAAATTATATAATGATTAAGTATATTTTTAATTCTTAAATTTTTATGAAAAACTGAAATTCATTTTTATGAAATTTTCATATATTTTAATTATCAAATTTTGAAAATAAATAA